TCTGTGTGTGTGCATAGGGTGTAGGAAAGTACTTCACAGTAAACAGGAAATATCTGTTCATTCCCAGCAAATATGATTTATGGGTGAAGCATTCAGCAGTCAGGAGCCAGAATGTCATTGCCTATACGATCTTTCTTTTTTTTTAATCAAGCCTTGCAACGTCTGGTCTAATGCAGTTTTTCCACATAGTTTTCCACATTCCTCCGATTTATATTTTTTTCTCTTCCCTCCTTCCTTTCTTTCCCTTTTCACATGCCTTCTCAGCCTCTGCTTGTTCTCCCTTCCTCCTCTTTTCTTCTGCTCTCATCGAAATTCAGCTGTGTAATTCCCTCTCCGAGGACACCCATTGATCTCCCCCCCTCCTGCACCGTTTGAGAAAATGCTGGGCGGGCAAAGCTAGGATTTTGAGACGTCAGAGAAGAGAGCAATAGAGGAGGACGGAGAGGGACGAGACAGGCGAACTGGAGAGCCAGGGCAGGAGAAAAGAAAAAAAAAGGTGGGGGAGTGTAGAAGTGGAGGAAGGGAAGCATGCTAACACACACACACACTCCTCCTCTGTCTGTAGATGCTGGAGAAGAAAAGACACGGGCTTTCCTTGTGATTGCATCTTCTGCCCCTTTTTTGAAGCACAGAGACAAGAGAGCAGCTATTTACTGGAGCCAACACATAATGGCCACTTTTATTTACTTCATCTATTTAGTCTCTGCCAAGCACTCTCCAGCATGGGGGGCCCAAAACAGAAACCCTGGTTGTTTAACAAAGTACCAAAATCCTCTCCTGTTCTATGTGTACGAAGTCTTCTCTCTTTATTTGCAGAAAAGTTACTTCTAATCTTCCAGATTGAAAGAATCCAAAGCTGAGGTGATCTTTATACCCCACCCACTGCCCCCTCAATCAACATGCGGGCTTTTTTCTAAATGACCTGCTTTTAAAATCTCCTCCAGGCCAGACCCCATCAGCACACACTCATGCAGAGCCTCGGCCTAACATCAGAGGGGTCAGCAGTGCCATTCAGCCGGTGACGGAGCTGACCCCGTGTCCCGAGGCGAGACTGCGACCGACCGGTTCTTTCAGTTCACTCCTGACCTTTAAGAGAGCTCATTGCTAACAGACCTCAGCAAAATTAGGCCACTGCTGCAGAATTTTCTTCCACTTATCTGCAAATCCGATTTTCCTTATAGAATTAGCAGATGATATGCTTTCCAATGTTCTTAGCCTCAAAGTAGCCTAACAACACCATGGATGATTGTGTGCAACATGGATTAAGGAATCATGAAAACATCGCCCTGAAGGATTTTTTTATTTCACCATGTAGTTGGTCTGTATAAAAAACCTTTAAATAATTTTCTAGTTTGCATTTTCTTTGGATTGAAGTTTTTAGTTATAATATGATTAACTGTACCTTTCTCTTATCTTATTTTATGTGTTTAATCACCTTTAGTATGTAAAAAAGAAAAAGAAAAAGAAAGTTCACCAACGTTTTTTCTGCTGCAGCCTTATCTTTGTAAAAAAAAAAACTTTGGAATGTAAGAAATGAATTATATATTAATTTAATTTTATCAACTGCTCTTGCAATATGCACATAAATCCTTTTAGGTAGAAAGGCTTGGCTTTTCTTAATCTTCTCACTAACTCTTTTCACTAACTGTTACTATACATAAAAAATAACAGATAAATAAATGTGAACTTAAACAACACACCTGGTCCTTTACCTAGAAATGAATATTTATGTATAATGCAATAGATTTTAACAATTATCCTCACTATATTATGCAATAAATGCTGAAAGAATGAAAGGCCATGACACTTATTATTCTGTTAAAAAGGCTAATATAGCAGAGCCCCTTCACCTGGGGAGTTAGCCTCACACTCCCAGAATGTTGCTGCTGGTGGACTCAACAGACCTCTCATCTTGTGAAACTACATCTGATGTGTGACTGATCATCCAGCTCTTGTGCTACGCTTGTTTTCACTCTGCAAAAAGAGAAGCCATTTTCTCTCAAATGAAGCTCACAAGGGCCCGATCACAAGACAGAGAAGCTTGTGTGTGTGTGAGGCTCTCTCTTTCCTCTCCCGTCTCGTTGTTCTGTGTGTGTGAGTCTGCTGACAGTATGGTGACGGATGCCCCTCTTGCCTCATTCTTGCTGCCTTTAGTAAGCGGGCCTCCTGCATTCAAAAACAAATAAGCTGCCACATAAAGATCATTGCTCATTTCTTCTCGAGTCACTCAGTGACACACGCCCACAGATCACAGACACTTTTTAAAAGAACCCTGTGTTTCCTATATTACATTTAAGAAGCCTCGCACACATACAAGTGTGCACCAGGGGCTAACATCTGGAAGGGGTTTGTACAGTGAGATGATAGCCAATAATAATTAATGCGAACATTTGAAACTCATTTCGGTCCCCCTCTGGGTGACCCTAAACCAGGTCAGAGGAGCATGTGTGTGTGTGTGTGTGTGTTTAGCAGGAGGAGAAAGGAAGAGGCTGAATGCACGTTGCCTCAATCCATGATTCGTTTCTGGTTGCAATCAGAAGAATCCCAGAATCCCACAGGTGTTCCCAATTCCCGTTTACTGCCAGTGTCCCCGCTCTCACCCTTCACCGTTTCCCCTTACAGGATAAAAACACACATTCCATCAAATCTCACCTGCTCATATGGAACCTCTAATAGTTTAGGTCAAAGAAACTCAACGGAAAATCCTGGCTGCGGTTCAAACTGCGACCAGCAGGGGAGGCTGTGGCACATCCTTTCAGGTTTGACTCCTTACCACCAAACCAGCTGATGCTGGGGGTCAGAGGTCAGCGAACAGACTCTGAGAAGCACCATGCATTCCAGCTGAGCTGATTTGGAATTTAACAGAGGAGAAACAAGCCTGAGGATTGGGGGGAGGTGTGAAGTCAGTGGTTGAGGTTTACATGACGGAGGATATGACTCCTCATCTGTCCGCCTCCTCCTCTAGCCTCTGGCTCCTCCCCCTCCTCCTCTTCTTTTTTAGAAAGGCCTGCTTCATATTTTGCTGTTGTCATGGCAGCAGAGGTTTGTTTGAAACCTCAACAAGATCATCTGTTATGTCACCTGACCTTAAGCTGAACCTCCACACACACACACACACACACACACACACACACACACACACACACAAACACACCTCTGGTGTGATGTCATCTCAGAGGGGACACTTTTGAAATGAGGCGCCATCTTTTGCCTTTTGATGCTCTGTGTGTGATTAGTTTTAATGCGTTTGTGCTTAACATGCAGGGGCTTGACAAAGGTATTTTTACTCATTGAACCGTTTCACATTTAATCAGGTTATAACAAGAAACTTCAAAGTATCCTATTAGGATTTTACATAACACCAAACAGCAGCAGCGAGTAATTGTAAAGTGGAGAAAGAGGGATTGATGTGAGTAGGTATTCAGCTTTCTGATGCTGAAAAATAAAATCTAATGGCACTTTTGGAGCCTGACATGCAAAGAGATGTGTGTGACTTAAACTCTAGCTAGCTCTGTGAAGGTCTCAGAGGTTTGTTGGAGAACGTTAATGAGCAAGCAGCATTATGAAGATGAAGGAACAGCAGACTAGTCGGTTTGGGGAGTTAAAAGTTATGACTTTATTCAAAAGGACGTCCTAGCATGCCACAGGCCATGCAGTGAGCAAAGCAACCATGTTCAACAAGGTTCTCTAGGAGAACAAATATAAACTGTCAAATATAAACATAGCAAATGGCTGAAGCAAAGTAGAGGCAGCATCATGCTATGGAGATGCTATTCTTCAGCAACGGTGTTCGGTGTTGATAGGAAGAGGTATGAAGCCAAATGTAGGGCATAATGAGAATACTGCAAGAAACGTTTGAGCCTAACCACACCTCCTTGGATACAATGGATGAGTTTCAGTCATAAATCACTGAGGAACAGCTGACATAGATGATCAAGGAAGGTAGAGCTTCAGCTGTCCTACATAACAACAATGGATTAACAAGTGTATAAAACTAGTAAAGATATGCATAACCCCAAAATACTTTTTTTTTTAAATTTATTTCAATAATTCCCTTATGCAGTCTTTTTTTTTTTTTGGACTTTAAATTATGGCTCACTTTGTGCTCCCACCTTATCACAGTTTAAACCCGTCCAGGTTTACACACACTCTGTCCGTGATCAGGTTTATGGAGGGAAGGCCAGACATGAAATAGCATGTGTGGAAGAATGCAGATGAAATCTGATCTTCTCTCATATTGTGCCTCTTAGAAGCGCCGCCATATACCAGCACATTTGTTTTTATATTTAGATGTGGTCTAACAAAGATTATTGTTTTATTTTTACCTTTTTGAAAATGAAAAAATAGAAAAAATCCTTAAAAAGAAAAGAAGTGCTGATGGGGCCTATCCTCAAAGACAGGTCAGGCTGATGTCCACTTCTGTATAAAAACAATATGCACCTTCACATCTGCTTTGGTCATCTGTCCGCTGCTCAGTGGCCCCTCCTCCAGGGCTCAGACCCACATGCATTCATTCCCCCCCCCCCCCCCCCCCCCCCCCCCCCCCACACCATTGTGATGCTGCTGCTCCTCAGCCCTCTATCTATCACCGACAGAGCAGCTCACCATGTGAGTATGATGAATGGGCCATTCTGCACCGGAAGCATACAATGGAAACCTCCCCTGCCACTGTGGACCAGCTTCATAGACACACACACATGCTTCCTCCCTAAATTTTTCTCACCCATCTTCAGTCTGTTATCCTCTCCCCTCCTGCCCTCACAGCCCCCCTTCCTTCCTGGTCGCCATACCTCCTCTCCCTTCACACACAGGAGCCTAACGCATGGCTGCGTGAGACAAGGACTACAGGCTGCCTTGTCTGTAGCGCGTCGTCTTTTACACACAACTCTGCGTTTGTTGATTATATGCTTTGGGTTTCAAGTTGCATTTAATTCAACATTTGTGTATTTATCAGGCTAAATTATTATTAGTTAAAAACAAAAAACAAATGAAGTCAGAAAGATTTTCTAATACATCTTTATTTACAAAACCAAATCAAAAACAAAGAACTGAATGCATGTGTGTTCATTCAGCAGACATACAACAGGTTTCACAGCGTTATAGGGACGTACAGCGGCAAATTCTCTCTGAATTACAAATACTGGAACTCCAGTTGTCCCCAAACTAATTAAAGGAGGCGTCTTTATGTCTTTGAGATTCATATAAAGCTGTCTAGATGCAGTAGTGTATAAAAAACATTGTTTTTTTTTTTTTTCAAATCCACCGTTGGAGGAGAAAAGAGCAAAAGAAAGAGAGAGAGAGAGAAAAAGAGAGACAAGTTTAATTTGCAGCCAAAACATTTGTAGTGGAATTAAACATATGGGTGCCACAGGGCAAAGGGAAGGCTGGAATATATTAGAGCGGCACAATGTTACACTAACCCTGCAGTATCTTACACCGCTACCAGAGATTAATGGAATAAAGAAGGAGGGAGAAGGATTGAGTGTTCCTCCTGTCTTTCTCGGGCCACTGCAAAATCAATACTTCGCTATGATACACGGCTTTCGCTTTTGGCTGCAGATTTACTCCCAGATACACTCATCAAAAGCCAAATATCAGGTCTCCTGAGCTGAGGCCCAGCTTCACAGTTAATCGGACATTTCTGTTTGGAATTGTAGTATTTGATTTGTTTTGGAATTTGCTTGTTTGAAGTTTCCTGAATTTTATTATAAACCCAAACTAAATTGCCTGTCGTATTTTTTTGTTGTTCTTTAACACACTCCTATAAAATGTCCCTCCGTAGGAGTGAATTAAGCAGGCTAAACAAACGCTGAGTCCTAAAAGGTTATTTTGAAGCAAAAATGACTAAGATGAGCAAATACAGAAAAACTTCTTATATAATAGCAGGTTTTTGGTTTTGTTATTTGCATAAACTCTGTTTTAATGAGCCTCTTTGGTTTAGATATAAAGTTTGCATAGATTTGTATTGCCTTTGTTAAAAACTGTTAAAGTAAATCATTATTGATATAAATGATGTTTTAATCAGTTGTTCCCCTTTTAAAATTTATATTTCTACCATATAAATATATTTACATTGTGAATCTGAATTTGTAGAATTTGTTTTTACATTTTTTTTTTAACATAGAATATCTAGTAAAATACGGACTGAATACAGAGAGTTTCTAAATCCTCACTTTTTTATATAGAGTTAGAGGTTTTAGAAGGCTTGCAAAAAAAAAAAAAAAAAAAACATAGTCCTGCTTAATATAAGGTTAAAAAAAATAATGGGTTGAACATTACAAGATAAAATGTTTGGAGACTGTTTTTAAGGAAAAATAAATAACTAAAATACTCCAGAACAATAAATAAAGAGGCATTTAAACTATTCACTGGATTTCTGCCTCTTTTTCATTCATACAATCAATGTGAAACCACACAGTGCAATATTTACTCTGAATGAGTCAAAAAAAGCAGTGTTGTCTTTTAACGCTTGGAGTGTTTTTCACGATCAGAAGGCAAATCTGTTTCATATCTGTCACAAAAAAACTGAAAGTTAGTTTCAAATGTTCAACTAAACTTATTGTTTGAGTTCTGTAGGAGTTGGATTTAAGATAGGCATTAGTAAATATTTGGAATAGAACTACTGTTTATCTGCAAATGACAACTTAGACACAGTTACTCTAAAAAATACGGAGCCACAGAGCTGCCATCACAGCAAAGAAAAATACTTCTGCAATATGTTAAAAGTGAAATATTTACAGTTAAAAAACTTTTTATCTCACGTTCGAACATCTTATCACCTTATTCCATTATGCATATTTATTGCAATGTAAAAACAACAACAAAAAACTTCCTAGTTTTTTTTCCTAAAAATATATCCAGTAAGAGAAAAACATCAAAATATAACTATGAAATAAAAAATATGCTGCAGCTTTACTCATTTTTTATTTTCCTATTTTTTGCAAGGCTGTCCTCTCTCCACTTCTGTATGATCACTGATCAAACATGTTCACAAATAATTACAATAAAGGAGGGTATTGCTGATATTTACATGCCCTTTCATAAATATCTAAAAAAATATATACCATACAGGTTGTTATAACTCCATGCAGTTTTATCTTTTTCTCATTTTTAATTCCTGCTTCCATAATAAATGGATTCACCCATATTTTTCCAAATAACTTATCCTGTTATAAAGATACAAAAATATTCTGCAACTTTCCCAATATGCAGATGATACATTACTATAATAATTATTATTATGGACTCTTATTCAGGCTAGCAGTGAAGCATATTTTTGATCTGTTGCTGTAAGACCATAAACACAAGTGCTGAGAGGCCAACCTTATCATTTTTGCTGGATTTTTCCAAATGTGTGCCTTTGCATATTTTACCCTGGCTATTAATGCAAACCTTGGGAGGGGATCTGGTGGAAATGACCGTCAATTTATCATTCATTGCTGTAAATTGCAACAGAGACAGCATTTAATTGAGTTTGTATTGTTTTTGGAAGCTGGGTGCCCGAGCAAGAAAAGGGTAGGCGGGGGCTGGGTTCTGTCTCAGGCTATCCCTGTGCAGCCAGGGGTGAGGGGGGCTGAATGGGGATGTATGGAGGAGAGTTTCTTTATGTTCTTTAAGCTTTGTTATTATTACAATGTGGTCATTTGTCAAATGTTTAATGCATTTAGCATTTTGTTATTTTTAGTGCAATGCTTGGGATTTTTGCATGTGACAATCTGTATTTTTTGCAACAAAGGTAAAAAAAGAAAAAAGCCTTTTCACTCCAGGGTCCTCCACCACCCTTCCTCCTTCCAGCACCGCCTCTGTACTTATGAAATAATCTGCTGGTAGAAAAAGTGGCAACTCTCATTAGAAGTGGAGCAAAAAAAGAAAAATAAAACAGCCAGGATATTTTAATATTTTTAGTAGAACTATTGACCGGTTCTATTTTAATAAAAACGCCGTTCTAATTTAGTTCTGATGGAGCCTAAATAAGCATTTTGAAATAAAACAGTTGTCTAATGCATCTGCGCTGCTTCCCCTCGAAGTGGTCTCGCACATTTCTGATCATTTACGCCTTTTTCCAATCGTTTAGGATGCAGGAGCCGCGGCTCCGCTGCTCCATCAGAGCAGCTTCCCATCGCACTGGAAGCGCGTCTCCAAAGCAAACCGCGTCCATCTTACAAAGCAAGGAGGATTTATCAGCTGCAGGTTTAAAAACTCACACAAATGTTTGTCTAACAATTTATTATCAATGTCTGCAATTTCTTATATAATAAGGCAAACTTGCTGAAAACCCAAACGCACCTGGAGACATTTACGCAAATCATTTTAAGTTCAGTTTTTTAGGTTCAAACAACAAAACGTTTTTTTTTTTTTTGTAAAGAGCTATTTTACATAAACAAAAGAGACAAAATAAAGCTTTTGGGGAAAGAGTCGGGAGTATAGTTTCTGAAATGAATACCGGCGAGGCAACGCAAAGGCCGAGGGCAATAAAACGCAACACCATTAAAAACAGCAAGAAAAAAGAAAAAAGGCATGCAATAGAGCTGATTATCCACACCTTAATATCAAATACACCAGACCTTTTCATTACCTTTTTATTCAACCGAAGTCATCAACAAAACAACTATTTTATACTAACATAATATTGGAAAAAAAGTTTCAAAAGCAAATTGGTTACAAAACACACACACAAAAAATATTATTTATATTTGAATTTAACACATTTAAAATAAGTAAATAAATAAACCCTTATTAACAGAATCTACCCTTTATGTTAGACTGCTGCCTTTATCTTGATTATCGAAATTTTATTCTAAAACTCACGTTTAAACAAAAACAGGTAAATAAAAAAAATCCAAGTAAATAAAAAAATAAAGTAATTTAATGTTTTTTCTACATAACATCAAGCAATAGATTTCAGCCGAGCAACATTAAAATCTATAATTATACGTTTATTGTAATTTCTTCTTAATTAATCACTAACATCAGTAGAAGAGCAATAATTATTTTTTATAAGGTGGAGATTAAGTCTCAAAAGGCTGAAAAGGTAAAACAATTAGTTGAAAATTAGTCATAAATAGGCTATAAAATTTTTTTTTAACGATTTTTTCCAGACTTCTTCATTTCGTCATTTTGCCAGTTTTTTTTTTTTTTAGCTTTAATCCTTAATGTTGAAATTAAAGTATCCAATCGTGAGTCGAGTGTTTTTTTTTTTTAACTTAATTCATGAATGAAAACATTATAGAAGAGACTGCAAAGCATTTGAAGAGGTTTTTAATGACATCAGGGAAGATTTTCCTGCATCTGCGGTCAAATATTCACTCCAACAAGGCTAAAATCTCCTGATCGGAAGCAGACGCACCTCAGCTCACCGCGTGTTTTCGGCTGAGCTCTCTCCTCACACACTCAGAGTGACTGTGTGTGTATGGGGGTTGTAAAAGCCCGGAGGAAGAGGGAAAAAACTCTGCTTTTTGTTCGAAAAGATTAAAACCGCCTCCCAAAAACTGTGAATAAGATAATAGTGGTAATATGTTGGCGTTTTAACTGACTGCTGTTCTACACGCTGCGACCATCCGTTCAACTAAAAACGTGTCCTTCAAAGTGAGCGGAATTATGGAAAACAGCTCTGCTGCAGCTGCCAGCCCGTCATCTGATGGCGCACACACCACAGTAGATCAGGCAACAAAAGCACAACAGATAGGAGGAAGTGGTTGAAAATTAAATCCTGTTTATAGCATGGAGAAAAAATGTTTGTTTTCACTACATGAGACATTTAGTTCCTTTTTTTATACATGAAGTGCATTAAGATTTTAAGCAGCTTCATTCATTTAATATATTGTTTTTATATTTAAGTTTAAAAAATGATAAATCTGGACACATATAAACATCCGAATAAGTGTGGGAAAACTACTTAATGATTTTAAGAATTTCTGTAGGCTATTTGTCGCAGGAGTCTTTGAGTTTCCATATGTTCGTTTTTAGATTATTATTAATAATATAATACTGAGTTAATATAAATATTATGCTGCGTTCGAAATATTTTTTTTCTAATTCAATTTCTCTCCTAAAACATTTAAAATAGTAATTACCATGATAATTTACAGTTAGGGTCGCCGCTAACAATATCAGAAAAATGATGAATAAAATACTCTCACCTTTTTAAAGAATAATAATAATAAGAAGAATAAAAGAAGAATGGGTTTGTTGTCAGCCTGCTCCTCATGCAGGCCGCGCTCCTTTCGCAGCAGGCTGTGAAACCTGAGAAGGCAGAACGGGCTGCGAACACATCTCATATGCAGAGACAGCTTTTTGAAAAAGGCGCCCCAGTAAAAGACAAGGGAGGAGGGGGGAGGGGGGAGTGTGCGCCGTGCGCGCGACGCAGCGCTGCGCGTCTCCAGCCTCTGTTCCCTTCCTTCTCGGTTGACTGTGAGATCTTGGACCTTAGATTACTGTTGGTCGGTAAAACTGTCCTCCACCTCCGGACCTGTCACAGGATAACAGCAGCGCTGCAGTCTGGAATGACGCGCTTTATGAAAAAAAAAAAAGCCAGCTCCTGGAAAATCTGCGGGCTTCATCCCATCCCCCTCTTCTTTTGCTCAACACGAAGCCGTTCTTCCCGATCCTCCTGCGATCTTCCGCCAGCCTGCACATGTTTTCCCCATATTTGTTTCCGCCCATAGTTCCATGGTCGCCTTTGCCTAAAAAATCTAAACAGAAAGGCGAAGTGTCCACTCGCAGCTGTGGCGGCGCGCAGGCAGACTGCCCACCTAACCACGCAGTCTAGCCAGCAGCTGAGACTTCCAGGGGAGAGCTCTGCAGAGAGGGGGGTCTCTCTCTCTCTCTCCTCCCTCTCGCTCCCTCTCTCTCGTCGCTCTTCGTGTGACACTCTTTTCTCTCGCTCCCTTCAGCGGCGGAGCGGCAGCGAGGGAGAAAGGAGGAGGAGGAGGAGGGGGAAGCCCAGGCTGATAGCTGGAGGAGAGGAAGCCCCAACGCACTGAACTAGTGTGTGTTTCCCTTTCCCTGTGTGTGTGTAGATCCTAGGAAATCCGTCCAGCACATTTGGAGGGAACACCTACTAGAAGGACGAGAAGAGAGCAGCTTAAAAACAAACAGCTGAATAAAATCAGACTTAATGGCTTTAAAATATGCATTGCATTTTTTTAAACAGTCTGTCCTTAAGGATTTGCTGCGGGTTGTGATGTAGGGTCACGCTCAGAATAAACTGTGGGCCCCTGGGCTAGACACAGTTTTGTTTCCCTCCCCTCAAATGCAAATTAAAACGGACTTATTGTGAAGCACTCCTCATCTTTAAGGTTTAACCGCCTTGTTTCTAAGTATGAAGTGTTTCTGACATTATCTTTGCGCTTGTGGGTTTTTGTTGTGTAATATTTCCCAAAATGTTTTATCCATAAACATGATGACCGGGCCTGTGTGTGGAGATGTTATGGAACTTTGACTTAAAGTTTTCTGTTATGTCTTACGTTCTTGAAGCTGGTCAGTTTAAGAACCTGACAATGTATTTAAAATGCTTAATAATTGGTTTTAAATGAAAATCAAAGAAGTTCATTAATACGGTGTTTGTTGATTTACCTTACACCATCTCTACAGCTCCAAGGTTTTAAACCTAAAGAGATCTTATGTTAGAGTTTCTAAATAAAAGAAAAAAAATAAATAAAAAGTAAATGAGAAAACTAGGGTTGTCTCGATACTAAACTTTTCAACTCGATACAGATACTAAGGAAAATATTCGATACTCGATACCATTTTCGATACCACAAGGATAAAAACAAAGACTCCAAAATTCTACAGAAATATTTTCATTAATAAATAAAATACAATAAATAAACACAATAAAGGTTGTATGCTGTGCACAATATTAAGCAAGCTTGATAAAAAACTTCTAAAATTAAAATTAAGTGTTCCTTCCTTTGCACACATAACAATGACAAACCAGTTAAGAAACAAAAATAATTCTCAGCAGCTGCACCTCTTACAAAAAAAGTCTGAAACTGAAAAGTGCACAGAAGTATTCAATCACACAGTGTTCTGAAAGTGCATTGTCCTCTATTCTGCACTTTAGATGAATGACTGCTTAGGTGCCACTGGTGGTAGCACTGTATCGATACTTTTAAAAATAAGTATTGTATCCGGATACAACGTTTCAGAATCGATACTTTTTTGAGTTTCGATACTTTTGACAACCCTAGAGAAAACATAGAATGACATGACTATCAATACAATAGTGTTAAAATACTGACCAAAACAAAGAAAAACAGCTGTGCAGCTGATATAACTTATTTTCCTCTGAGTAATTGCCCCCCCCCCCCTGTTTTTGTCCTCATTCTATGTCCTAATGGGGACCAAAATCCTGTTAAAAGTTCTTTTGTTTGAGCCAGGTTTAGGTTTAGGACTAAGGTGTGAATTCAGTTCAGGTAAGGGTTGTATATACAGGTGCTGGTCATAAAATTAGAATATCATGAAAAAGTAGATTGATTTCAGTAATTCCATTTAAAAAGTGAAACTTGTATATTATATTCATACATTACATACAAACTCATATATTTCAGATGTTTATTTTGTTTAATTTTGATGATTACAAATGACAACAAATGAAAATCTCAAATTCATCATATCAGAAAATTAGAATATTACTGAAGACCAATAAAAACAAAGGATTTATAGAAATGTTGGCCAACTGAAAAGTATGAACATGAAAAGTATGAGCATGTACAGCACTCAGTATTTAGTTGGGCCTCCTTTGGCCTGTATTACTGCAGCAATGCGGCGTGGCATGGAGTCGATCAGTCTGTGGCACTGATCAGGTGTTATGATAGCCCAGGTTGCTCTAATAGTGGCTTTTAGCTCTTCTGAATTGTTGGGTCTGGTGTATTGCATCTTCTTCTTCACAATACCCCATAGATTTTCTATGGGGTTAAGGTCAGGAGAGTTTGCTGGCCAATTAAGAACAGGGATACCATGGTCCTTCAACCAGGTACTGGTAGCTTTGGCACTGTGTGCAGGTGCCAAGTCCTGTTGGAAAATGAAATCTGCATCTCCAAAAAGTTGGTCAGCTGCAGGAAGCATGAAGTGCTCTACAACTTCCTGGTATGTGGCTGCGTTGACCCTGGACCTCAGAAAACACAATGGACCAACACCAGCAGATGACATGGCACCCCAAACCATCACTGACTGTGGAAACTTTACACTGGACTTCAAGCAACGTGGATGAAGTGCCTCTCTTCTTTTCCTCCAGACTCTGGGACCTTGATTTCCAAAGGAAATGCAAAATTTACTTTCATCAGAGAACATGACTTTGGACCACTCACCAGCAGTCCAGTCCTGTTTCTCTTTAGCCCAGGCAAGACGCTTCTGACGCTGTCTGTGGTTCAAGAGTGGCTTGACACAAGGAATGCGACAGCAGAAACCCATGTCTTTCATACGTCTGTGTGTGGTGGTTCTTGAAGCACTCACTCCAGCTGCAGTCCACTCTTTGTGAATCTCCCCCACATTTTTGAATGGGTTTTGTTTCACAATCCTCTCCAGGGTGCGGTTATCTCTCTTGCTTGTACACTTTTTTCGACCACATCTTTTCCTTCCCTTCGCCTCTCTATTAATGTGCTTGGACACTGAGCTCTGTGAACAGCCAGCCTCTTTAGCGATGACCTTTTGTGTCTTGCCCTCCTTGTGCAAGGTGTCGATGGTCGTCTTTTGGACAACTGTCAAGTCAGCAGTCTTCCCCATGATTGTGTAGCCTATAGAACTAGACTGAAAGACCATTTAAAGGCTTTTGCAGGTGGTTTGAGTTAATTAGCTGATTAGAGTGTGGCACCAGGGGCCATCAATTTTGAACCTTTTCACAATATTCTAATTTTCTGATATGATGAATTTGAGATTTTCATTTGTTGTCATTTGTAATCATCAAAATTAAACAAAATAAACATCTGAAATATATGAGTTTGTATGTAATGTATGAATATAATATACAAGTTTCACTTTTTAAATGGAATTACTGAAATCAATCCACTTTTTCATGATATTCTAATTTTATGACCAGCACCTGTATGTTGGTAGTAGGGTAAGGGTCTGGGTTAGGCCATATAAAAAGAATGCAAGCTTCCCTATAAGTCACAAAAACAAGAATCTGTGTGTGTGTGTGTTTGTTTGGGGTTGCTGGTGGTATTTTCAGATAAATCACTCTCAGCTTGCAGAACAGTCAGCCCTCACCTATGTAAACGCACCCCTGAGGGCATTAGATTTATCTGCAGAAATACGCTTCAACTGAGGCCCCGTCCACACGAAGACGAACCCTGGCCTAAACGCACAAATTTTTCACCAAACCAGCCTCTCATCCACACGAAGCCGGTGTTTCGGGGGTCTGTAAACAATCTTTTTTTTATTCAGCCTTCAGAGTGGGAAGATTTCGAAACGCCGTTTTCGCGTTTCCATCTTTACGCTCTAACTGCATTTTTTTTTACACGCATGCGTCATAGCGTCGCCTCTAAACACGCATGCGCGACCAGTATCACAACAACAATGGCGGCGTTGCTGCTAATGCTACTCACCCTGCTGTCAGGCTTACAACAGAATCTTCTTCTTCTGAAATATCTCCAGGAAGAACAGAGCAATATCGACGACATAGTTCAGCACCTGAATTTGACTTAACCACGAAAATGGACCCGCAGGGCAACCATGTATAAATATTAATGCGCATGCCCAACATTTCGTCGCTTATTTTTGCTTTGGCACCACAGCGCCACTTACAGGCCTGGCATACATTTTGCAGCGTTTTCATGCATTCGTGTGGACGCTCACATTTATTTTACGTCTCCGTCTTTACGGCAAACGTTTTGGAAAATATCAGCGTTTCGTGTTCGTTTTGACTTCGTGTGGACGGGGCCTCAGACACACCTAACCCCATACCCCACCAGTACAGGCTCCCCCTTCTCTCGGCAAGGGGATGGATGTCCAGCATCTCCTTTGTCTACATGCAGATGGCCTTTGACCTTAAATGAATGGATAAATCTCCAGAAAGGCATAATAATGCTCCTTGCTTCAAATCAGCAGGAGCACGGCCAGCCCAAGGCTGTCTGAAGCCCTGAGCAGAATTTCATTTGGGGAACCACACAAGTGTTCTTTCAAAAGGTTTTTTTTTTTTTTTTTTTTGGTATCAGCTAAGAAGAATCTGCTTATGCTCAACAACTGGAAGTAGAGTTTATAGAAAGTGCATTTTTCATGTTCTAACTACTTAGTTGGATCTATTAATGATCAATTTGATCAGTTCTTAGATAAACTGGTTACACTATATAATAACCATCAAACTATCATGTATAAATGGTGAAGAGACCACTTATTAATGATTAACAGACAATTTATTCAATTTTGATTCATTTATAAATGGCATCTAAACCATTTATAAAAGGTAAAAAGATCATTTATTAAGGTATTAAGCACACTGATGTTAGGGTAAGTCCAAGATACCAGGACAGGTTAAATAAAAGAATAAATGCTAGGTTCTGTTGGGATCTTGAGGCTTTGCCCACCAGAGGGCGCCGAGGATCCTCTTCTGTTTTCTGTTTTCTGTTAGGGACTGGGGTTACTGTTGGGATCTGGAGATCTACCATCTGTCTCCAGCAGAGAGCGCTGTGGGTCTCCTGGGCTGGAGCCTCCAGCACACCTGAAGCTCATCAGCCCATCAGGAGACCTTCCTACATAAGCAGCAGTCAGACCTTCCTTCGACGCCGCAGTGTTGACCAAGTTTGGTTAGCGAAACCTGAGCCTCTGTTAATTTATAGAATCCTAGTAGACTCTAGAGAGAAACTAGATTCTAACCTGTCTCTGTCTTCTCTGCCTCATAGGAAACCTGATCAAAGTCTGAAGCTCTGGATTAGCTTTGTCTGGAAACCTG